GATTGATATCATCCTATTCCGAAAAGAATTTCAAGTGAGTAATGATTCTATCAACACCATATGAGAAGGGATTGATATCATCCTATTCCGAAAAGAATTTCAAGTGAGTAATGATTCTATCAACACCATATGAGAAGGGATTGATATCATCCTATTCCGAAAAGAATTTCAAGTGAGTAATGATTCTATCAACACCATATGAGAAGGGATTGATATCATCCTATTCCGAAAAGAATTTCAAGTGAGTAATGATTCTATCAACACCATATGAGAAGGGATTGATATCATCCTATTCCGAAAAGAATTTCAAGTGAGTAATGATTCTATCAACACCATATGAGAAGGGATTGATATCATCCTATTCCGAAAAGAATTTCAAGTGAGTAATGATTCTATCAACACCATATGAGAAGGGATTGATATCATCCTATTCCGAAAAGAATTTCAAGTGAGTAATGATTCTATCAACACCATATGAGAAGGGATTGATATCATCCTATTCCGAAAAGAATTTCAAGTGAGTAATGATTCTATCAACACCATATGAGAAGGGATTGATATCATCCTATTCCGAAAAGAATTTCAAGTGAGTAATGATTCTATCAACACCATATGAGAAGGGATTGATATCATCCTATTCCGAAAAGAATTTCAAGTGAGTAATGATTCTATCAACACCATATGAGAAGGGATTGATATCATCCTATTCCGAAAAGAATTTCAAGTGAGTAATGATTCTATCAACACCATATGAGAAGGGATTGATATCATCCTATTCCGAAAAGAATTTCAAGTGAGTAATGATTCTATCAACACCATATGAGAAGGGATTGATATCATCCTATTCCGAAAAGAATTTCAAGTGAGTAATGATTCTATCAACACCATATGAGAAGGGATTGATATCATCCTATTCCGAAAAGAATTTCAAGTGAGTAATGATTCTATCAACACCATATGAGAAGGGATTGATATCATCCTATTCCGAAAAGAATTTCAAGTGAGTAATGATTCTATCAACACCATATGAGAAGGGATTGATATCATCCTATTCCGAAAAGAATTTCAAGTGAGTAATGATTCTATCAACACCATATGAGAAGGGATTGATATCATCCTATTCCGAAAAGAATTTCAAGTGAGTAATGATTCTATCAACACCATATGAGAAGGGATTGATATCATCCTATTCCGAAAAGAATTTCAAGTGAGTAATGATTCTATCAACACCATATGAGAAGGGATTGATATCATCCTATTCCGAAAAGAATTTCAAGTGAGTAATGATTCTATCAACACCATATGAGAAGGGATTGATATCATCCTATTCCGAAAAGAATTTCAAGTGAGTAATGATTCTATCAACACCATATGAGAAGGGATTGATATCATCCTATTCCGAAAAGAATTTCAAGTGAGTAATGATTCTATCAACACCATATGAGAAGGGATTGATATCATCCTATTCCGAAAAGAATTTCAAGTGAGTAATGATTCTATCAACACCATATGAGAAGGGATTGATATCATCCTATTCCGAAAAGAATTTCAAGTGAGTAATGATTCTATCAACACCATATGAGAAGGGATTGATATCATCCTATTCCGAAAAGAATTTCAAGTGAGTAATGATTCTATCAACACCATATGAGAAGGGATTGATATCATCCTATTCCGAAAAGAATTTCAAGTGAGTAATGATTCTATCAACACCATATGAGAAGGGATTGATATCATCCTATTCCGAAAAGAATTTCAAGTGAGTAATGATTCTATCAACACCATATGAGAAGGGATTGATATCATCCTATTCCGAAAAGAATTTCAAGTGAGTAATGATTCTATCAACACCATATGAGAAGGGATTGATATCATCCTATTCCGAAAAGAATTTCAAGTGAGTAATGATTCTATCAACACCATATGAGAAGGGATTGATATCATCCTATTCCGAAAAGAATTTCAAGTGAGTAATGATTCTATCAACACCATATGAGAAGGGATTGATATCATCCTATTCCGAAAAGAATTTCAAGTGAGTAATGATTCTATCAACACCATATGAGAAGGGATTGATATCATCCTATTCCGAAAAGAATTTCAAGTGAGTAATGATTCTATCAACACCATATGAGAAGGGATTGATATCATCCTATTCCGAAAAGAATTTCAAGTGAGTAATGATTCTATCAACACCATATGAGAAGGGATTGATATCATCCTATTCCGAAAAGAATTTCAAGTGAGTAATGATTCTATCAACACCATATGAGAAGGGATTGATATCATCCTATTCCGAAAAGAATTTCAAGTGAGTAATGATTCTATCAACACCATATGAGAAGGGATTGATATCATCCTATTCCGAAAAGAATTTCAAGTGAGTAATGATTCTATCAACACCATATGAGAAGGGATTGATATCATCCTATTCCGAAAAGAATTTCAAGTGAGTAATGATTCTATCAACACCATATGAGAAGGGATTGATATCATCCTATTCCGAAAAGAATTTCAAGTGAGTAATGATTCTATCAACACCATATGAGAAGGGATTGATATCATCCTATTCCGAAAAGAATTTCAAGTGAGTAATGATTCTATCAACACCATATGAGAAGGGATTGATATCATCCTATTCCGAAAAGAATTTCAAGTGAGTAATGATTCTATCAACACCATATGAGAAGGGATTGATATCATCCTATTCCGAAAAGAATTTCAAGTGAGTAATGATTCTATCAACACCATATGAGAAGGGATTGATATCATCCTATTCCGAAAAGAATTTCAAGTGAGTAATGATTCTATCAACACCATATGAGAAGGGATTGATATCATCCTATTCCGAAAAGAATTTCAAGTGAGTAATGATTCTATCAACACCATATGAGAAGGGATTGATATCATCCTATTCCGAAAAGAATTTCAAGTGAGTAATGATTCTATCAACACCATATGAGAAGGGATTGATATCATCCTATTCCGAAAAGAATTTCAACACTTTCAGTAAAAAAAAATGTGTAGACATTAGAAGCTAAAGGATGGACAACTTACATCAATATATACATTGAGAAACTAGAAAATGTAGTTAACACTATTAAATTTAGTGTCAACGCCTTGAATTGCAAAAAATAATAATAATAAATAAATAAATCTGTAGAATGTAGACCTTACAATCCCTGATAGTCAGACATTAAGTCATTTACTAAAACATATATCAAGTTCTATGGGTCTCTTCCTTTTTCACTTACTTTTTCTTTTTTGGGTCGGCAAAGAAAAGCTTTATTGATGTAAGAATCAAGTACACAGTACAAAACAAAATATATCAATAAAGAAAAGGGAAGTGTAAAAGCATCACAATGAGTTAAATCATCCCAACTAAGTTGGCACCAAAAAGTCCATCCTATCATTTACTAGCACCTCCAAAGTTAGTGAGAAACTAACAAGAAAACAAACCAAACACCAACAAAAAAGACCAACAAACTACTGCCTGACAGCTGAGTAACTTCTAATGCAACCACCAATGCAAACTTGGAATTTGAATAACTTCTAATCCTCAAAAACACTTCAGCTTGCAACTTGAATAATTTCCACTAATGCATCAGCAGACAACAGAACATATTAACTGAGCAACAGAGCAGCCACTGAAAGCTGATAGCAAGCATAACTAAGGCTTGGTTTGGCATAACCAAAAAAAGTCAAAAATTTATTATCCTATTTAAGTCACATCATCTTATTTAAGTCACATCACCTCTCTATCACATCACTTCAAACCCAACCCATACTTAATCCATATTTCATAAAAAGTCAAAAAGTGCACTTATTTAGAATACCCCAAACAACCCTTAAGATTAGACTCAGACATCAGCACAAAAACACCCAAATTCATCACAGCAGCACAACACAAAACCAGCATCAGCTGAGCAAAACAGGCCCACTGAGCCATTGTTTCTGTTAGACACCATACCAATTCTGCTATTGGCTGACACTACAGGAAAAAGGAGATATGGTGGCGCTTTTTTAATGACGTTTTTTTAAACGTCACTGTTATTAGTATTTAACGGCGTTTTATAAACGCCGCATATTCTATTAAACAAAACGACACCGTTTTACGATGGGAGGTGCTTAAAAACGCCTCCAAATGCGGTAGCCACACACGCCTTCTTTTGTGAAACCTTATTTTGAATCAGAACCCTCTCTAAGCGTATTATACAAAACGATTTCGATCGAAGATTCAGAACTCTCTCTCTCTCTCAACCCTTAATACGCACACATCTTTGTCTCCCTCTCAACCCTCTCAAAGCGATTTCGAAGCTCCATCAAAGATTTAGATCGAAGCTCCATCAAAGCGATTTCGAAGCTCCATCGAATATCCATATCTAAGCTTCACCGAAGATTCAGATCGAAGCTCCATCGAAGCGATTTCGAAGCTGCATCGGCGATGTAGCGAGCTCCACCGTCTCATTTGCAAAGATTCAGAGATTCAGTGATTTCCAGAAGCTCAGATCTGAACTCTGACCCCTCGATTACTCGCATTTCAAGCTCCAATGGCGGCGAATAGTCTACTTTGTTTCTGAACTTTAATCGGTACTCTCTCTCTCTCTCTCTCTTCTCGGTTTGTTCATGTAGACAAATTGTCCTTTCGTTTGACTGCATTTGTACATGCTATTAGTTGGCTGTAGTTTCTCTCTAGCTCAAAATTGGTATTTGATTTGGATGTCCCGTGGAGTTGAATATGTACATTTTGAGTTTCTAGGGCTTCTTGAGCTTGTTGAGCTGCGCGGTCTTTTCTCTTTCTCCTCTCTCTCTGCACTGTTTTGAGTATAAGATTACCAAAAAAAAAATAAAAATTTTTTTTGAAATTTCAGAACACAGTTGCTTCAGCTCAGGTTTGAATCTGTATGTATGTGTAATGTGTGTGTTCGATGAATGTTGATGGTGTGGAGATGGAATTTCTCTCTCTATATATATATATATATATATAGCCAGTATAAGATTACCAAAAAAAATTTAAAAAAAAATTGAAAATTCAGGACACGGTTGCTTCAGCTCAGGTTTGAATCTGTATGTATGTGTAATGTGTGTGTGCGATGAATTTTGATGGTGTGGAGATGGAATTGTGTTGTAGGGGTGGGAAGAAGACGAAGGGCTTGGGAAAGAGAAGCAAGGCATCAAAGGATATGTCAGGGTTAAGGACAAACAGGACACTGCATGTTTTTTTTTTTGCTCTGATTTTTGTTTATTTATCAAATTCATCCTCTATTTTGTTGCCTAGAACAGGGAGTTCTTTTATTTTTATTTTTTTAATTATCTTATGAATCAAAGGAGCTAATAAGGTTAAACTTGTTGTGGGATGATTTTTTCATTTATTAGAAGAGTAAGAACAGTTCAAGACATATAGAGCATATTGACAGTTTAAAAATTACAACAGGTATTGGTGTAGATGAACCCAAAAATAATTGGGCATTTGATACATCATAGTTTGACAACATCCTAAAGAGATTGAAAGTGGTAATTCTCACATTTATCTTCGAATTAGAATTAATAAGCTTTAAAAAAAAATTGTTCTTATGTTTTTCTGTCTGTAAATCTTTCTTTTTATTTTTGCAGCAAGCAGCAGAAATCAAGGATGAAGGTACATCAAGATGAAAATGAATTTAGATTGCACTTAATAATATCATGATAGTTTGACGTGGATCCTCTTTGTATACACCTTGCAGCTGTTGAAAAGGATGATGTTCAAGATGTTGATACTGAAGCCACCACAGAGACTAATACAGTTGTCAAGTCTACTCGGCCCCAAGGAAGGTCAATATGGTTGCCTACATCAATGCTAGATCTTTTTTTTTTTTTTGAAATTTATGTACTTGTTTATTTTTGTTTCCTTCTTTAATAATCACCAGGTATAAGAAAAGAGAGAGAGGGAAACTTGTCCATGCATATTCTTCCGAGGATCTTGGAGGAATACTTGTGAGTTACTAACCTTTGTAATTTAGGACCTTCTATTTTCATTTTATAGAGTTGATTGAAAAATTTTCGGAGCTCTTTTCTTCACTCTCATGAATGTATTGTTTAACGGGTTGACAGAGGTTGCATTAATTGTTTTGAGGCTTCTTGTATTCTTCCTACTCTGCATTTAGTGGTCACTTGAACCTAATAATTTATTCACTGACAAATACCCACCATCTGATTCAGGTTTTTCCAGCAGTTATTGGCATTGTTCAGTATACATCATGTCTCTCTCTCTCTTTCGCTTTGTTGCTGCAGTGGGAAGAAAGCTGGTTGTTGTATGCACTTTAGGAACCTGCACATTGATAATGAATATTCTGCTTAGAGGATTTATAGTTGCCCAAAGTAAGCTGCCTCATTTCTATTTTCACTTTTGAGCCTATCTTGAATTAGAATGAGCTTTTAATTTACCAATCTTTATACCACATTGTTGAATATTGCTTGACATTTAGCCAAGTAAGTTGTGGATTCTTTCATGTGATTGTTTATATATTCGATGATCAAAGCACTGCATCTACAACCATTCATTTCCTTTTGTGCCTGCAGATGACATTGAGCCATTTATGATATGGGGCTATTATATTTCTCCAGTGATGTATGGACAAAATGCTTTAGTAATATTTTCATGTTAAAGGTTCTGTCTCGGAGAAACATTACTACGGAGCCCATCCTGTCTATTATTCTCTCGAACATAAGAAGAGAATGTCGACAGAATTTAACATCTCAAGTGATTTCTGCCCTACAGGAACAAGACAAGAATGAAGCTGAAGCACTTGAGAGAGAGTTGCACTCTAAAGATGATGCTTCAATCTCGTTACCTGCAAGATAGGAATGTATTGTGTAATACATTGGCATGAAATTTTGTTTGTTCTTCTTGAATGGCTATGCGATGTATTGTGCTGTGTCACGGTCAGAATTTACTTGGCACCATATTTATGTATGTAACAAAAATCCTGTCTTGCAGGTAACAAAATTCCTGTCTTGGGGTTAATGAGATGCACCACTCCTCATCACTGGACAAAAAACAAAAGCCTTGGCTTCACCAAGAGTTGAACTTGAGACCTAGAAGTTATAACTCCCAAGTCTTACCATTATATTCATGTGTTATGGACTGTGCTCTAATTATCATACAGTTTGGACTTTAGGCTGGCAGGTGTCAATTGTGACTCATGAGGTTGAGCCTAGGGCTAGTATAGATGATTTGGTTTTTCAGAAAGCCAGTAATCTATAAGATGAAGGTGTTATGCTTTATACATATCGAATTTGCTCAGTACTATTTGGTAGTTGCTATGATTTTTCATTTTATTTATTTATTTGTGACTATGATGTTGTGCATCTACACTATTGGAGAAAAAGTGTTGGACTCTGAAACAGCAAACACACCTTTTTGAGCAAAATTTTCAATCTAAATTATCTTTCATGTATGGTAGGAGGTTGGGTTTTCCCATGATATTCCAACCACTTTGCATAGAAGTAAAGCTGACTGCCCGGTCCCAGAGGTTTGTCTTTTATTTCCTCTTTATTGCAAATTTTCTTAGGTGTTATTCCAGTTATTTAATTTTCATCTTTACGTATATTGCAGGAAATGGTTACTGTCAGTGTTGATGGTTCTGTGCTAGATCGAATTGCTAAAATTATGTCATATCTTCGCCTTGGATCATCTGGGAAGGTTCTCAAGAAAAAGAAGAAAGAAAGAGAAGTGAAAGGTATGCTATACTGTTTTTTGAAAAAAAAAACTTGTTGGCCACTGTCACTTTGGTTTGTATTTTTGCATGATATTCCAAGTAACTATTTAATTCCAAACCCATGAGACTTTTCAGAGCATATTCAGCACATCTGTGCTTTAGAACTTGACGAAAACGTTAACTCTGGTCTAATGGGTAAATGGGAACATAGCTACCCTAATTAGCATGAATATAATTGCTCTTAACAAACTGGTATGAATTCAAAATTCTTCTCAGAAAGGAAATTCTGCAGTGATTTAATTAATTCTCATCAGGGGTAAGTTTCTAGAGAATTCATGTGACCATTCATGCAATGCATGCATGGATTATAATGCTATGGTGTCAGCCATTTGGTATCAAATTGGTTAGTTTCGATTTCCTAGGGAGGGTGAGAGGTTTCTACTTTTTCGAATTTCCACACTTGATGTCTTATTTTGTTTTCTGTATATGTGCATTTCTGTGTGGTGGTTATTTGATTCTGTTTTGTAATGAATGCAGTATCCTTTTTTCCCCTCCTCCAATAATGTTAAAAACACTAACTAATGTACCAACAAACATAAATAATGTACCAACTAGACACAATGTTAAGTGAGTCCTAGGTCAAGTGGTGGATCGCACGTTTATGTCTTGTGTCTTAGTTGATATGTTTGTTGGTACACTAGTTAGTGTTTTTAGCATTACTTTTTCTTTTTTCTTGACCTCTGTAATTTCCATCTGCATGTAATACATTGTCAAATCAATAGGAAGGATAGCAATTATTGGTAATGAATATGTTGAAGATGAGAGGGTGTCAAAGCCTGACGGTGAAATTTTAAAGAATACAACTTACAGAGAAAACCTACCTCCACCTCCCCCACCTCCGAAGCAGGGACATCCTAATTCAAAAGAGAACCAAGGCCCTGAAGTTTCTAGAGCTGAAGATGACGACATTTTTGTGGGGGAAATTTTGTTACCTACACTTTAAAGATGATGCTTCAGTCTCGTTACCTGCAAGACAGGAATGTCTTGTGTAATACATTGGCATGAAATTTTGTTTGTTCTTCTTGAATGGCTATGCGATGTATTGCGCTGTGTCACGGTCAGAATTTACTTGGCACCATATTTATGTATTTTCTCTCGGAACAAATACATTTGATTTTTTTTTTCTTTTTTGTATTTGTGTTTGTAGTTGAAGGCCTATTTTCCTGTTGCTACTGTACTTGCCAAAGTGTTTATGAGGGCTTATGCATCACAGAATTAGCACAATTTTTTTTAAAAAAAAATAAAGAAAAGAAAAGAAAAATGAAGCTATAGCGGCATTTTTTAAACGCCACTATAGTGTTATATTTTTAAAATAGAAAAAAGCTACCACGACGTTTTTAAAACGTCGTTAAATGTTGACGTCACTGTTATGTAACACATTTAGCGGCCGCGTATTCTCATATAATGACGCTTTTGGAGTGCCATAAAGATACAGCGACGGCTGCATCTTCGACGTTTGGTACTAAACGTCCCCCTATGGGTTAAGGACATAACCGGCCAGTAATCCTGAGATTACCTACGGCCTCAGACCAAAACAGACATAACCTGTCAGAGTTAAGGGGCCAAACGGAAGCAATAAATAAAAACTTTGTCCATAGAGCCGTGCTTATATGCACATCAACAGACTATATTCAGTTACGTTAATAACCCACAGTTCAAAAGTACAGTTTCACAAAATTCATTACAGACAGGATCATCCAAAACAAGTCAACCTATGACAGACTATTTACATATTTACATAAAGTCCTTGCCGGCAAGACAAAATATAATTACATAGCAAAAAGGCAAGGGTAGGTCTCAAGAGTGAGACGCAAGGCTGACTTCCTCAAAACTCGGGTTTTTCCTAGCAAACTTCACTGGGGCTGGGTTTGGACTTCCCTTGGCTCACCTACAAACACATGAATGAACGTGAGCGATAGCCCAGTGAATAATATCAAATGCAGAAATTACATAACAATGTAGAACAACATGTTCCAATCGGCCTTTGGCCCAATTCACATTTCTACTTAACATATATATATACTTATACAAAATTTAGATCAAGTGACTGTAGTTCCAACAAACTGGCCTTTGGCCCATTCAGGTTTCCATTCTTGTCAAAACAGCCTTCGGCCCATTCATTTATGTCAAAACGGCCTTTAGCCCATTCATTTACGTCAAAATGGCTTTTAACCCATTCATTTATGTCAAAATGGCCTTCGACCCACTCATTCATGACAGAACGACCTTCGGTCCATTCATATTCATCTAAACGACCTTCGGTCCGCTCATTTACATCAAAACGACCTTTGGTCCATTCATATACATCAAAACGACCTTTGGTCCATTCATATACATAAAACGACCTTCGGTCCATTCATATACATCAAAACGACCTTCGGTCCATTCATTCTTATCAAAACGACCTTCGGTCCATTCATTCTTATCAAAACGACCTTTGGTCCATTCATTGATTCCTGTCAGACTTTTGTCCACAATCCCAATTAACAACTCATAAGGTTTATAAGGAAATAACAATTGGACATTGACAAGCTTTCAAATATTGATATTACTCACAGTGATCGACTTGTGGATTCTCCCTGGAGCTTGACCCTACACATTCCAGGCACACAAAAGGGGTCATTAACAATTCAATCCGTCCCTTAATTCACATATTCCTCTTTAGGCTTTATTCTTATCTCATTAACTCATTTATAATGTTTAACACACGCCTAAGAGTGATTACAAGTGAAAGAGAACGGAAAACGAAACACAGAACGCATGAACAAAATTCCAGAAATTAGGGTCCCCGCTCGAGCGTCAATTTACCCGCTCGAGCGGACCCTCAAGGCCTACAAAAGTACTGGTTGCATGAAAAATACGCTCGAGCGTTAAATAGGGCGCTCGAGCGGAAGGCCTGTCAAAATAGCTCCCACGCTCGAGCGTCAACTTCCCCGCTCGAGCGGGAACCATGTCTGCAGAAAATGCTGGGAGCTCGATTTCTCCGCTCGAGCGTCACTTCACCCGCTCGAGCGGACATCGAAAATCTGGGTTTTCCAGATTGAGTTCTTGAGCTTCATCTCGACATTCAAAGGCTCTAAATGCATGATTTCGGTCCAAACTTCACATAATCATATACTAACATGGTACAAACATAGAATTACACCATATTGAAGCTCAATTTCATAATTTATCTACATTCATGTCCCAAAATATGTCAAACTCAATCATTAACATAACAAATTCATGCATTCAAGCTCATATCTTCTCAATTTGTACATGCATGTGATGGATTAGCCACATTCTCAACTTAGATAACACAAATGGTGATCAAGACATGAGTTTCCTTTAATATTTCACATGGATTATACACATTTGTGCTCAAACATGCAATATCAAGGTGATTTCCTACATGCATGCACATATTAAGCTTCAATTCAACAATTACGACCCAATTTCATTTCAATCTTACTTTTGATCACTCAATTAGCTTGAACACACAAAATTACAAACTATAATCCAAGAATTACTCACCTAGAAGCTTTGATTTACACAAACTATAACAATTCTTGGATTATCTTCAAGGTTCCCAAGCTTTAAGCTACAATTTGCACAATTTTCTCCTCTCTCCCTCTCTACAGCCGGCCCTCCTCCTTCTCTCAAGGTTTGATCAGCCAAAATGAATACATAGGAGAGAATGGGAAGTGTAGTGACCTTCCCCACCAATTCCCACTAACTCATGATAATAATAGTAAATAATTGGGCACCAATTTACCAATTTAATCAACTTAATCTGGTCCGAATCAATTTTTCAATTAAATTTCACCGTAGGCTCTAAAAATTATGCCAATCACAATGGCGTAATCAATTTCGGGTTCTGTGGCCGATAAGGCCCTCAATTAAATTTCCAAAGCTGATTATTCAAGCAGATATTCCTACGGTGAACAGATAAAACTTCAAAATCACATATATTCACATAATGGCACATAAAATCATGGTAAACACATAATCATACTCAATTTAAGGACCAATTAGCATACTACGGAACAGGGGTATCACAGCCTATTCTCATATAACGGCGCTTTTGGAGTGCCATAAAGATACAGCGACGGCTGCATCTTCGACGTTTGGGACTAAACGTCGCAAAAAGAATTAGCGGCGTTTTTGATAGTTATAGCGGCGCTTTTTAAACGACTCTAAAAGCCTCATTTCCAGCAGTGAGCAGACCAACAAAGCTGAGCAGACAACCACAAGCAGAACAAAACACCCAACCCACATCAGCAAGCATAACTAACGATAGTCATTGTAAGCAACTTGGCAATTTTTTAATTCCGTTGCAGCGAACAAAGGCGAGTCTTCTCAATTCTCTTTTCTCATCCTCCTTGGAAACTTAATGGTAATAGAATGTCAAAGCATGTCACATACCATTGATACTAGGGAGGATAAGAAGAGAAATTGTGAAAGGAAAGAAGAGGCATGAACAAGAGGCAAAGGTACTTTTGGCCTTTGAAAAAAAGTGTTGATAATTAAAATAATAGAATAAATTTAAGATTGTAAACTCCATTACTTTAATTAATAATTCACCCCACCTCAGACACGGTTGTATAACATATCTGTTTGCTGAGTAATACTTATTTTTATAAAGTCATGTCTACGCTTCCAATAACATCAACTTAAAAATTAAAAATTAAATTGATAGTTAACAAGATTTGATGAAAATATCTTTCTTACTATTCAATTGATTGGAGGTTACAGATATTTATACTCAGTGTATTATAACTAAGTTTGTTACAAAGCTAACTAACTAGTTAACAACCTAGCTGTCTAACAATATAACTAACTCACTTTACTTCCATAACCATATCTATTAACACATGTGTGAGCTGAGGTGTATGATGGCTACATTTGTGCCTTGAGCTGCTGATGCTGAGAGTGTGGCTTGAGCTGCTGATGCTTGAGTTGCTGAAGCAGCTGACGCTGGAGCTGCTGATGTTGAGATGAGACTTCCTCCTCAATACTCTTATCAATAGTCAACATAGCTGGTCTAATAGCCATTCTATAAAACTTACCTTTTAGTCTAGTAGGTATTCGTTTATCGCACAATACCCCAGACGCACTTCAGACACGGTTGTATAACATATCTGTTTGCTGAGTAATACTTATTTTTATAAAGTCATGTCTACGCTTCTAATAACATCAACTTAAAAATTAAAAATTAAATTGATAGTTAACAAGATTTGATGAAAATATCTTTCTTACTATTCAATTGATTGGAGGTTACAGATATTTATACTCAATGTATTATAACTGTGTTTGTTACAAAGCTAACTAACTAGTTAACAACCTAGCTGTCTAACAATATAACTAACTCACTTTACTTCCATATAGTTAACAACCTAGCTGTCTAACAATATAACTAACTCACTTTACTTCCATAACCATATCTATTAACACATGTGTGAGCTGAGGTGTATGATGGCTACATTTGTGCCTTGAGCTGCTGATGCTGAGATTGTGGCTTGAGCTGCTGATGCTTGAGTTGCTGAAGCAGCTGACGCTGGAGCTGCTGATGTTGAGATGAGACTTCCTCCTCAATACTCTTATCAATAGTCTACAATTCTTAACTAATTAAAAGTTTCTTATACATATGTATTAAAATAATTAAAATTATGCCCTTTACTTCTTACTCAAGAAAATACCTACTTTATGTTTATGATCACAATGAGATCAACCTAAAAATTTTAAAAATTAAAAATAAAAAGAAAGAAAATTGACAGGCCACCAGAATTGACTAATTAACTATTTCTACCACCAAAAAAAAATGGTAGAAAGAAAGAAAAATATTTATTTTTTCAGTTTACTTCTTCCCCAGACAATAAATTTCTTTCTTTGCGGCCATGAAAATGAAATGTATCAAAAACTTACTTGGCCGCCTCAATAAATTAAAAAGTAATCACCATCATTAGTTATATAATATGCGTTAAATCATCCAAGTGTCATCTATATCTATATATCCATTATTGATATGCAAGATGGAGCATCCCCACTTGGTGATCTGTCCTTAAAAATTATTTAAAATTATAAACAGAAAAAAGAAAAAAATAATAATGGAAAAATATTTAGAAGTATTAAAATATTAAAATAAAATAATTAATGAAATTTTGTATAACTGTGAACACATTTTTATCATTAACAATACATGACATTTAATAATTTGATTAATTTGTAATATAATCTCCAAAATAAAAATTTGTACATACAGGTAGATTGCAGCACTTGACTCTTTTTAAGCAGGAAATGGGCTTATTTTGAGCCCATATATCTGATTGCTAGTAAGACTCATTCAAATGACCCACTGAATAGACAGACAATCATGAATTTTCTAGCCCATGTATTCCTTATTGAGGCAACTGTGGGTCTAACTCACTTGCACACCTTTGCAGCACAAATCCACGGGTCTACTGGTCTGTATTTTATATATATATATTTCTTTATATTTATTTATTTTCTTATAATTAAGAAACTATCGTAGTCAGGTAAACTCGAGATTCAAAAACTATCTTCTAAACCTATGAACCAGGCCTAGGATAGAAATATATATATATATATATATATCATAGCAAAGCTTAGTCAAGTCTATCATCGTTTATAAAATTTGAAAAATGATTGGGAGCTCTAAATTGGGAGCACTAAAGGAGCTTTAGAGAGTGGGTTCCACTGACTAATGTGATGTTTTGGCCTTAAGTTTTTTTTTTTTCTTTTTTTTTTTTTGAATTTCTACCTCATTAGTGGTCCATTAGTGCTCCCAAATTAGTGGGATGTATCATTGTTGATAAAATTTTCATTCCAAAACTTGGTCCTAAACTAATATTCAGTGTGTTTGGTTTGAGTTTTCTGGATTAACTTTTTTGAAAATTAACTTTTTTGGTTTTCGTATTTTTTTGTTTTTAGTGAATATTTTTTAAATTTTAAATATTTTTTTTACTTTTTTAGATGCACCTTACTTAGATATATCTAAAAGTAAAAAATTTGTGAAAAAATATTTTAAAAAATTAATAAATACATAAAAATATAAAAAATATACTGAATTCTTGTATTCTTTTTTGTATTTTTGGTATTTAGTGAATTTTTAAAAGATTTTTTTCACAATTTTTTTACTTTTTAGGTGTATTTATGTTAGGTGTGTCTAAAAAGTAAAAAAATTGCTTAAAATATTTAAAAAATTCAGTAAAAACAAAAAAATACGAAAAATAAGAAAGTAAAATTTTTTGAAAAGTATTTTTTGAAAAGTGAAAACAAGTAAGGTGAAATTTCAAGCCCACCAAATATATTCATATAATAGATAAAACGAACAAATAAATAAATGTTATAAAATTAAATATCAATAACTTTTTTTTTGTAATAATAATAACACATTACAACAAAATTTGCCTATAACCACGCTTTTGAGACAACGTTTTTTTGACAAACGCTGTGGAAAGCATAAAGTGAAATTAAAAACACGCGTTATTATCCTCTTATAAGCACGCGTTTCGCTTTATAACGGTGCTCCGTCTCCATTTCTCTTTCCGTCTATCATTCTCTCTCTATTGTTTTCTCTCTTCGTCCTAGATCTAGGTTTTCTCTGTCTCTCCGCATACTTCTTAAGAGATTCATCAAGTTCGATTTCGATTTTCGCTCTATTGTTTTCTAAACCCATCGATTCTTGAATCGATTTGGTTGAAATTTCTTCACGATTGTTTGATTTTCTTGATTCTGACTCGGATAATTTTGCAGAGGAAGGTGAACCGGTTGATTTGCACGAACGTGAGGTTAAGAGACCGAGGAGTGAAAAAGGATCGAGATCATGGTTTGGGATCGGGGCCAAGACTAGTCGAGTCGAAGCAAGATGAGGAGATGAGATCATGAATATTGGGTTTCGAGCGCGATGGCGTTGGATGCGCCCTACCTGTTGAAGCTCCTCCTAAGGCTCAAAGAACGAAAGTTGTACAGAATCAAATGTCCTATAAGACAACGTGAACGAATTTAACAGAAACTGAACAGGTTAAGAGAAAAACTTAATATAAAAATCTAGACAGAATTCAATCGAAAAATCTGAAACTAAAAACGAACCAAAACTGCCCTAAGATGATTTTTTTCGAAAAATTTCAAAACACGAAAAGTGTGCAGAATAATGTTTTACTTCAGTGTACGCGAAACCAATAAAAATGAGCTCGTTTCGTGGGTTAAAACAGTCTCTAAAATCTGCCTTACTAAAATGAATCAAGCCGACAATGATCAAGATCATCCGATTATAAGTTCTAATCGATTTTTTTAATAAAAAGATAAAACACAAAAGTTGTCTAGAATCACGTATACATGCTTCTGCTCAAATTTCATAATTTATCAAGATCGTTTTATATTATATATATTTTTTATCATATACATATCAGTACCATTCACACTATACTAATAAATTCATAATTAAATTCTTTGTTCCTTAACTCCACCACTTCGGCCCTCCCCTTCCGGCCTACACATATATCCCATGTGCCTCCCGTATACCTAACACCGCTCCGAAGCCAAACTTGCATGGGGATATCGTTCCGAATTTGACTCACACTCCCCAGATGGTTAGCATATACGTACGCGTGCAAATCAAAACATTCGTCTACTCATGAGAACGAGGCAACAATATATATATACTCAACATCTCACACATGAGAATAAACATAACAATGCCGAGCCTAAGGCATTCAAATAAATCTCATAATCCTCTCTTTTTTTTTATACGCTCTTTCTCACCATCACTCAAATAAAACAACAATCCATGGAGTCATGGTGGTCTTTTCCGAGAACCTAATAACTATGGAAGGAACAAGGGCATTGTAAGTACCCTGTATTTGTTTTTTTGTGATGGGTATTATTGTTTCAAGGACCGTAGACGAAGAAAATAGTGATATGTTGATCTTTGGTTGTTCTATCACCAAATGGAAATTGGATCCGTTTAGGTTGTGATTGATCTTGCTAAGGATTCGACTTAATGGTACCCCCCATGAATCAAAATCTTGGCTCCGCCACTGCTTGATTGTGTGTAAATATGTGCAGTTTGTATTTGTTCATGCATGTGAAAGTACCACTCAGGCTTGCTTCATAGTTTATACACAAGTTTTCCTAGTGGTAGCATCTTTCATGGTTGTTTTCTCATTGATATCATATTTTCTGCCCATTTGGAAGTGATTAGGAAAGTTCTGGAGGTTTCTTGTTTCGTAATTATTTAAGAAAACATTGTGAGATAATTGGAGTTTCTTGTGATCTACATATTATAAAATGCAGTCATTAAAAAAAATAAAATAATAATAATAATAATAAAAAACTGCTTTTCTAGTTTAAGAATGATGTATTGATGAGTGTTGAACTCAGGAACCTAAGAGACCCAAGTTGTCATGGATCAACGAATCTCAACTTCTTTCCATTAATGCAGGCTCTTTGTTGCTCTTTTTTGCAGGTAATGTCAAAATCTAAGAATGAATTGGGTGCATCTAAACTAGAGTAGAAAGTTCGGGTGGCCTCTAATTGATCACATCTCTACTTTTGGTATGGTCTGTTTGGCTCTTTAAAGGCTGCTGTTTTTTCATGTATCCGAAGGCTACTTGATGCTTTTGTGCTAGAAATGCGTCGACGTGAAGATGTGAATATTTGGGTAGACCTGCTTGAATAGCTTCAGGTTTGAAGTATTATGGAAATTGGTTTAAGTTTTTCCTTCCCTTCTTTTCTTGATATTAAACAATTATCCCCGGTTGAGTGAACTGATATATTGTGATTGGTGGAACTCCTTTTTGATTTGCAGTTAATATTTATCTGTTTGTGATTCTTCTATTTGTTATTTTGCGTATATGTTTTTGCTTAAATGACGTAATCAGTTTTTTGATAAGTATAGTTCTCGGGCTATATCTATTCTATGGGTTTGTCCTTGAGCTACCTGCAACAGTTAGTCGTGTGTGAAGATATTGCTCAGAAGCAACTCATGGAGGATGACTTCTGCATGAACAGTCAGGTCTGTTTCTTTTAGGAAGAAAACTGGTGTCCTTAATGGTGTGGGAGTATGTCCATGCCGGACACTAGATTTCTCTAAATTTAGCTTTTCCATACACACACGTCAGTGTTACAACTTACAGGACATCTACATTGGAGTCCTGCTGTATTGATTTCCTTGGTGCTTTTAATCTTTCATCAAGGGGTGTAGCTAATATTATTGTTCTGCAAAAATTCTTTAGGCGTCCAACAGGTATTGATATCTCTAGTCAACTCGGTTGTCGAGGATCAGAGCTTGTAGTAAATGATTGTGGACCTGAAGTTTTTGGATGGGTTTTTAATCCATGACGGTGTCAGATGATCTTATTATTATTATGTTTTAATTTTTAAGGTTAATTATTTTTCTCTCTTTATCTTTACTGCCTGAGTTGGTAATTGTAGGAGAGTAAATGATGTCCTTTAACCTGCTTGCGGCCATATATGAACATATGTCCAGTAATGTCTCTTCTGAAAAATGGTGGAGTTGGTCCGACTTCTAAGGGGAGCCTGAACCCCACCATTACAGTCCATCCTAGAAGCTTCAGAATTGGGGTGGGGTATTAAGAGAGGTAAATTTATTTTTGTATTTTCAAGAACAAAATTTTAAAAATATTTTATGATGTTTGGGAAGTCAAATGAAAAAAAATTTTAGTTATCAAAGGAATCCTAACACCATCACCACTGTCATTGACATCCTATCATCATTACCATCACTGCACCACTGACATCATCACCATCCACACTAACACTGTGTCCGGATCCTCTGCCACGGTCTTTGCAGTGCTACCAAACGACGTTGTTTTGAACATAGTTCCCTCCCCTTTATTGTTTCTCCAAGTTTTTCTTTGAAAGTGAGGAATGCTGATGGTGGATAACATTGAACTTAATTATTCTGCATTCATGCCATGCCTTGATGTTGGAACACCAAAACGGCCTAGCTATCTTCCTTGTAATAATATATATATCTAAATAGTAAAATATTTATAAAAAATATTTTAAAAAAATAATAAATGCACAAAAATATGAAAAATATACTGAGTTTTCAATTTTCTTTTGTATTTTTGGTATTTAGTTAATTTTTTAAAGATTTTTTTCTACAAATATTATACTTTTTAAGTGTATTTATGTTAGATGTATTTAAAAATTAAAAAAATTACTTAAAATATTAAAAAAAATCATTAAAAATAAAAAAAATATGAATTTTTTTTTTAAAAAATAGAATTTTTTGAAAAAAGTATCTTCTGAAAATCAAAACCAAATAAGCAGCATTTTTTTTTTCCTCCTACAACATTAGCCCTAAATCCATGTTGTTGTTTGCATTAGGTAAGCTCGTTGTTTGCATTAGGTAAGCTCGTTGTTTGCCTTGCTAAGAATTTTCTCCCTCTGCAATTTAGGTAAGCTCTCTCTCTCTCTCTCTCACTTCGTCTTCCTTCCTCTTTCGGTCTCCCTCACTCTATTTTTCTCTGTTTCGAGATTTTGTGGTTTTAGGTCACCATTGCTGGCCAAAGAGATTGTCGACTAGGTCACAACCAACGATAAAATGTTTATCCCCTTTGTATGGTAATGGGGATTCTACCTTGTAAATATCCATAGAGACACAATCCAAATATATAGACTGTGTTTGATGTAGCTTTGAAAACTTAATTCCACCATTCCATTTGCATACATTGTTTGGATGGAATTTTGAAATTGTGATTCCACCACAAATTTCAAAACATATTTCTCTTTCCTGTTTGGCTACTCTCTTTCTTTCGTGTTCTCCATTATGAAAAGCAGAAGATTTTTGAATTTTGGGTATACCTACTCATCCTTCCGGACGTTCCCCCAGATGTCCGACCAGTTGACCAGAACAGTATTTATGTTTTTTTATTTTTTGGCACCTGTTATTTTTATATTTTAAATAAAAAATATTTTGGAATTTTTTTTTAATTTTTTTATGAGTTTTGAATAGAATTTTGGATTGTATGTTTGGTTATGAGTTGTAAATTTTTAAATCAAATATTATATGCTATATCAATCAATTCAAAACTATTTTCAAAACGCATAACTAAATTAATTTTTTACACTCAAATCATAATGTCAAAACTCTCAAATTCAAAAGATAACTCCATTCTTAAATCATAATTTTAAAACTCTATCAAACGTAATCAAAACCCGTTGGATTAATTGGTGTTTTTTAAATATCCAAATGATATGGGTCGGGAATGGGCACCCGCCCAATTCCCCATATGTTGTGTTCAGGGTTCTCATTCTCAATCTCATGGTCTTCTCATTCTCATTCTCACATAGCAGCGAAGACAACGATCTTCGTTGGATTTGCGAAGGCAACGATCTAGCGGCAGCGATCTCTGTTGGCGTTACCACGGTGGTTCTTCAGCGTGGTGAGTTTCGCTATCTCGTTCTCTCATTCTCTGGGTATGTTTAGTAGATTACTAGCAGTTGGCACACGCGATGCGTGTGCTATTCAAATAAATGAAAATAAAATAGAAAACTTATTATATATTGTGTGTTAGTCAAGTGGTAAGAGTGTTATTCATTTGATATAAGTCTAAGGTTCAAATCCCCTCCACTCATCTATCTAATTTTTTTTTTTAATTTTAAATTAAAAAACTGCACACGTGGCAGCATAAGAAACAAAGCTTCAAGACACCATAAGAGGTGTTCACTTTATAATAGTACTAGCGGTTGTCACACGCGATATCTGTACAATTCAAATAAATAGAAATAAAATAAAACATTTATCATATATTGTGTATTAGTTAAATAGTAAAAGTCTTATTCATTTGACAGAAGTCTAAGGTTCAAATCCCTCCTCTCATCTATCTAATCTTTTTTTTTTTTTAATTTCAAATAAAAAAGTAGACACGTGGCAGCATAAGAAACAAAGGCTTCAAGACACCATAAGGGGTGCTCACTTTATAATAGTATAGATAGGTAGATAGATAGATAGATTTTGAATCATTTTGAGTTCCTTTAGCTACTCCAAATTCCATCAATTCAGCCTTTTCTCACTCTTTCAAGAATCAATCCAAGTCCCACACTTTTTGTCGGTTTCGGAATCGAAAATCTCTGCAGAGAAAGAGAATAACTTTCACTTTTGAACCCTCTGCCGTATCAGAAGTTCTTCCCCAACTTGGCACTCCACTTTTCTTCTACTATTTGAACTCATTTTTCTTGGTGCCTATTGGGTTATGTTGATTCTTAGTTCAGGGCTAGTTTGTTGCAATTTTCACATTTTTTTGCCAATAACTTTAATGGGTTTTATTTGGTTTTAAGTCTGTAGGTAAGAAGTTGTGAAATCGGTACAATAACTAGTATTTCTGCTGAGAATTTGCAATTGTGTGCATTTTGTAAGTGGTTTTTGCACACCCACCATGTGTTTGTGTGTTTGTTTGAAAGAGACAAAAAGTTACAGTAGACTATAATTTGGATGTGCAATTTGTTTGACTATGTGACTAATTAGTACCATTTGCATTGTTTGAAAGAGGCAAAAAGCTGCATTTTGTACATTACGTTAAGAAAGCACCAATATTTTGGAACACACATAAAGGGAAGTAGTTGAGTGTTTCTAAGAAGAATAGAGTAAGACACTTGCATTTTAATCATATCCGTATGTTCCAAGGTTTTTGAAGGTTGATTGAATCCAAAATGTAGAGGCATAGCTACGGTTGACATGTATGACTAAGCCAGTTGAACATAGGCGGTCAATGAACAATGGCTATTGAAAACAGCTAATCTAGTTGGGTAGAGGGAACTTGAAAAAATATTCATTTCAGCTGTTAAAAGGGAATTGTAACTTTTGATTTGTATGTTTCTTTGGTTTACTATCCTGGTCTGCATATATGGGCATGTGGTCATTACGTAGCTGTAAATTTCAAATCACACCAAAGCAAAACTCCCTGCGATTGCAAAGTAGATAAGATGTTGCAAAATGTATAAAGAATTCGGAAAGTAGGTGAGAGTGGCAAAAAGAAATTTGATAGTTGGGTCATCAGAAATGATGATGTAGAAAAAAATCTTTCTTAGGTGAAAATTGGAATCACAAAAATTTGTTGAAATTTTAGCACGATTGCTTTTCAGGGTATAATTTGGCATACACAACCAACAGAGGCTGGATAGGAGACAAAAAGAAAATGCATTCTGAAACTAAATTAGGAAATATCCTAGAGGAGCTCAAATTAATGGGGAAGGAATGAATTGGAGAGGCTTGACTCTTGAGTAAGGAAGTGATGAAAGCACTAGGCCGAAAGCAGTGAATGTTCCTTAGATCTCATAATGTTATCCTTTGGCACCAAATGTAGTAGTGATTTGCATAAGCCTAACATGATGTTAACATATTTACTTGATTAAGATTAACCATATTGGCAAAATGTTTAAACAAATGGTGAATTTCATGTTTTGTTTATAGTAGCATGTTGTTTTCAACAATGGTATTTTGAATATTAACTCAATCATTACATAATGTAGAAATGTGATAATATTACATAGTTCTTTGAAATATATAGATTTTGTGCCTTCAATCATACATGATGTAGAAATGTGATAATATTACATAGTAATTTGAAATATATAGATTTTGTGCCTTCATGTGCATTGATCTGATTGCTCACTTATATTTGTCATTGTTACAGAATGTGCTTTTATAAAGAACCTAAACAACAGTGTACAGTATCTCCTAGCTTGTGCAGTTGTCAAATTTCATTGGACAGAGTTAAATGCTATCATTTGTCTTTTGAAATGGGTTATTTATGCCCTAATGCAATTTAATCTGGGTCTTATAACACTTTCTTCAAACAGGTTCTTCCACATTTTTTTTTAATTGCTAAAAGCTTATTTGATTGTCTATATATTTGATTATTTTAAAACAAACTTTTTAATTAATTAATTAATGTGTATTTGATTTTGTTGTAGAGTCAAATAAAATAAAATAAGCTTGAATATATATTTAGCTTTGGTTGTGAATCTTTAAAAAAGAAAAAAAAAAGAAAAAAAGAAAGGGTCAAGTTAGGTTGGGAAAAATCCAAACCCATTAGGAGATGGGGAGGGTCGTACCCATGGGGAATGGGGATAGGGAAATAATATCCACCCATTGCCGCCCCTACTCTCCCTAGCTTGCACTATGTTTATAAAATCTGATTCAGTTGACAGTAAGTAAAATTTGATTCAATTGACCGTAAAATAAAATTTGATTCAAACATAAATAATGATAGTTTGTGATGTATAAATAGCTTCAACAACAAAATAATATTTTTGATAACCGCACCACGCCGAGGTAGTCGCGGAGGAGGTAAGGAACTTGCTTGAGGCACGGGCTATTCAAGAAGTGCACTACCCTCAATGGATTTCAAACACGGTCGTAGTGCCCAAGAAGAATGGGAAG